GAAGCCGCCTTTCAGCTATAATGCCTTGATCATGATGGCCATCCGTCAAAGCCCAGAGAAGCGCCTCACACTCAACGGCATCTATGAGTTCATCATGGGGAACTTCCCTTACTACAAAGAAAACAAGCAAGGCTGGCAAAATTCCATCCGACACAACCTCAGCCTCAACAAATGCTTTGTCAAAGTACCCCGGCACTATGATGACCCCGGCAAAGGCAACTACTGGATGTTGGACCCTTCCAGCGAGGAGGACGTCTTCATTGGAGGTGCCACCGGCAAGATGAGGAGGAGGTCTCCTGGTTCCCGAGCCAAGCTGGCCTTCAGGAGAGGAGCTAGGCTAGCATCGGCCGGGGTGACGCTTACCGGATCCTTCTACTGGCCCCTTCCTCCACTCTATGCTGCCTCCTCAACTTTCTTGGGTCACCATCACCCCAGCTCCTTCTCTTCAACGTTCCCCCATCAAGCCATGACTCCTCCAGGAACGCAGAGACAGAGTGATGGAGGAGAACGTTCCTGTGGGAACCACCAACACGTTGCCGCAACCATGTTGGCATCCGCCATACCCTGCAACCTCTCTGGACCGGACCATCTGGACTCCTGTTCTCTTAATTTTGTAGCAGGCCAGGCAAGTTACTTCTTGTCTCAGAGGCACCACCACACTTTGCCGTTGAACTTGCAAGCGGGACTCCCATCGAAAGGCGCTGGAAATCTCCTCCACGGAAGTCCTCTGACTTTCTCTGGACACCTTCCCCCAGAATTCCCAAGCTATTTCACTCTCCAGAACCACGGAGCTCCATTTCATCCAAGTCAGCCTTGATTATCATGGTCTCCTCTACAACTTCCTCACTATACAAAATATTTTGCCTGGCAATCTTGAAACCCAAAGATCATGCATCAAAAGTCAGAACAACCAGACTATTGATTTCTACCCATTGTGAGAAACCTCTGGAGAAACTTGAACTCCTGTTTAATCCAGTTGTTGTTTCCTTTTTCTGTCCTTTCTGGTGAAAACAGAAACATTTGTGTGTACCAAAATTAAATTCGCTTCTTTTATTGTAGCTCCAAGAGCACGCAGAAGCTGGCAACTTTTGGATGCAGGTTCAATTCATTTTCCAATTGCTTTTGGAGTAAAGACCGGTGCTATTAAGGGGAGACAGAATTGCTTTAGGAGGTATGCAGCAGAATTATTTCCGTACATCTGTGTGCATTTTCAACATACTTTTTCCAAATTTGCGTTTCTAGCACCTTTAATGAACAAGCTGATTCAAAAATCATCCCTTTAATAGGCATAAGTTAACATCAGTGGAGACCAGGTTTGTGATATAAGTATTCACTACCTTCTATTGAATATTGATTGTTTTCTCACTTTTGATGTAAATTGTTAGGGCTGAGGAATGAAATGCTTGAACCACCATCTCGTAAAATGTTTTGTTGGGCTGTGATTCAGTTATTAAATTACTCTTGGTAACAGGATTTACACTGCTTGGGTTGAGGCATTGCTTTATTAGTCTGGCATATCAGTATGCAAAGGGATCTTGCAGCACCTTTGAGACTACTGAGAGAAAGACATTGTAGCATTAACTTTCATATAGACTTGTTAGTCTCCTTCTTCAGATGCATGGAAATATGGGTTGTGATCCTAAGCGCCATCAGAAAAGCCTTCCCCAAACTCGGTGTCCTCCAGATGCATTGGATGACAACTCCCAAGAGATACCAAGGATGCTACAACTCCCATTAGTTCCCATGGTGACGTATTGTTTCTCATTTCCCTAAAAAAGGATGTGCCAAGCAAAGGTAATCTCAAATTCTGATTTTAGCTTTACAGAATCATCCGCTTGGAAGGGTAAATTCATCCTTAAAATTTACAGCAATGGCACCCCAGGAAAGAACAGGGTTCTTACTCCTCATCCCTGCCCTGTACAAACATCCCAGCATACAGTGTAGGGACCAGAATTCAGAATATAGATGGCCCAAATCAAAAGTCCATTTAAATAAGCATTTTGTCTTCACAAACAGCCGGCCCAGATGTCTCAAGGAAGGTCATAGCTCCAGCATATGAAAATAATAGCCATCTTCTTTCTGATCTTTGATCACAACATCCTATCGTCAGAAGGATGATGTTTCTGAACAGGAGCATGGCATCTCAAATTATTATAGCTCCGTAATGCGGCCATTCCACAGACTAGCCCTCCCTGGATTTGTCTGATAATAATCATTTTTTAAAAGTCCAATATGGTAAGTGACTATGAGGGCCAGCATAGTGTAGTGATTTGAACATTGAAGTAGGATGTTGGGAGACCAGGGTTCGAATCCCAGCTCGGTCATGGAAACCCACTGAGTGACCTTGGACAAGTCACACTTTCTCAGACTTAGAGGATGGCAATGGCAAACCCTCTCTGATGAAACTTGCCAAGAAAACTCTATGATAGGTGTACCTTAGGGTCGCCATAAGTCGGAAAGGACTTGAAGGCACACAACAACAAACAATAAACAGCAAGCAGTGCATAACTGGCCTAAATACCTTAAAGTCATCAGATAATAATAATAATAATAATAATAATAATAATAATAATAATAATAATAATAATGTTTATTTTTATCATATCCTGGCGGATTTTGGAAACTAAGCAGGGTCAGCTGTGGTTAGTACTTGGAAGGGAGATCACTGACAAGTACCAGGTGCTGTAGGCTCTGTTTCAGAGAAAGGAGCTGAAAAACCACCTCCAAGTATTCCTTGCCTAAGAAAACCCTATGGAATTAATGAGATTGCCAAATGTCGACAAACGACTTTGAAGACCGATACACACACAGCAAATTGCACCAATTAATCGTCGCATTATTTTGTTGGGCTGGAATCTGCCAATCCATTTTCACTGGAAGACTTTAAAATCTAATGTTTTGACAAAAAAAGGAATTCTCTATTCTAAACAGCATATTCGATCCCCAAAGTAGGAACTGATGCATCAAGGTCTGCGATGATCCAAAGAATCTGAAGGCAAGCTTCACCAAACTGGTTCAATGGGATTGATTAAATGAGAATAAAAATGTCTGAACTGGCTTAACTGATTTTTTAAAATCAAGTTCCAGGATCTGCTGATTTCTGATTTAACTTCATTCTGAGTAAGTGTACTTTGCATTGATGCACGATACCTCTATGCTGAACACAAGTTCAATTGAATTAATTGTGTTTAGGATCAGCAGGTTTGAAAGGGGATCGAAAAGCAATCGATGTATGGTATATTTTATACTAACTCTGCAGTGAGAATTATAGTATTGTCCTTCATGATTTGCTAAAGCGTGTGTGAGTGTGTGTGTTGTGTGACTTTATTTCATTTGAAGAAAGGAGGGGAAAACCCACAACCGTTTCACTTGCAGTCCAAATATTAACTAGCATAAACCACACATTAAGGGGGGGTTGCACACTGCCAGAAATAGTGCAAATTGAGTCCACTTTTAGGGTTAGGGTTAGTGCTAGGGAATCATGGGAACTGTATTTTATTGTGGCACCAGAGCTCTCTGACAGAGAAGGCTCAATGTCTCAGGGGGAAAAAAAACCATTCCCATGATTCCCTAGCAGTAACCCTAACCCTAAAAGTGGACTCAATTTGCACTATTTCTGGACTCGAAGGTATTCTTGATGCATGCTGATATTTGGGAAACAAGGCTTAAGGGAACAAAGTGCAATTTATATTACTCAGTAATTTTTTATTTAATGTGCATTTTTGTTCCCAAATTGGCAGAAAGAGAGAGCTGACATGCTCAAGAAAGGAAGCTGTATTTTAATGAAAAACCTCCACTATTTTGGCCTAATTTTAAGAGATGCTTTGTTTGTTTAACTCCTTTAGTTCCAAATTCTTGTTGTGAATTGAACAATAAGGAAGCAATTTATAAAGTATGCCTTACACACACACAAAAAAACCAACAACCATAAACATGAACATTTATTATATAGGAACCACACCGTGAGTTATGTTTGCATAGGAAAGAAAAGTCCCATGGAAGTTCCTGCTTACACAAACTTTGTATTAAATTTTGCTGTGTGAATCATTCCCAATGAAATAAAGATGTGTTTCACAAAACCGGGGTTGCATTTTATTTTAAATATAATGATTATGTCAATGCAAGAATCGCCCGCTCTCAAGACCAAGACAACATGAGAATGATGGCAGTAATAGGGTGATGCAGCGTTGACATATGTAGGCATCAGTATACATGTTTGTGTATGATTAAATATCCTGAAACTTCGAAGCAAGATGTAGTAGAAAGAAAGCACCATCAAATAACAATCTTGATAATGTAAAAATTTGAAAACTGCAGGCCTACCTCAGTTAACAAAAGTACAAAACGCACTGCAGAAATAATTCAGTTTGAGACCGCTTTAACTGCCCTGGCTCAGTGCTAGGGAATCCTGGGAACTGAAGTTTTGTGAGACATTTATCCTTCTCTGTCAGAGAGCTCTGGTGCCACAATAAACTACAGTTCCCAGGATTCCCTAGCACTGAGCCAGGGCAGTTAAAGTGGTCTCAAACTGGATTATTTCTGCAGTGTGTTTTGGACCCTCGTTAACTGAGGTAAGCCTGTAGTTTTCAAATTTTTAGATTATCAAGATCTCAAGATTATTATTCTCAAACTGGATTATTTCTGCAGTGTGTTTTGGACCAAAGACTCTGACAAAAAAAGCTTATTTTATAAAGTCTTTTTACACCCAACCAGACCCTTTTCTTCCTTTCCTCTGTCTAGCTGGAGTTTTTTGTTTTTTAGTAGAGAGATGTGTTTGCGGTAAACAATGCAATACACAAAACTTGAGCTGGCAAAGGTAGGGCCAAAACAAAGAATGCTGGGAAAGCAGCATCATCATCATCATCATCATCAACATTATCATTATCATCATTATTATTATTATTATTATTATCATCCTTAAATCCCATTGTGGGAGAAAGGTGGGATATAACTCCTTGGAAATAAATAAAGCTGATAAACTAACTGTGTATCAACAGAGGGCCAATGTAATGTAATGGTTTGAGAGTTGGACTAGGACTCTGGGGGACCAGGGTTCGAATCCTGGCTTGGGCGTGGAAAACCACTGGGTGGCCTTAGGGGAGTCACACTCTCTCAGCCTCAGAGGAAGGCAATGACAAACCTCCTCTGAACAAATCTCACCAAGAAAACCCCAGGGTCACCATGTCAGAAATGACTTGAAGGCACACAACAACAACGTATCAATGGAAGAAAACGAAGCAAGACAAGGGCTGCATCTACACTGCAGAATTAATGCAGTTTGACACCGCTTTAAATGCCACGGCTCCATTCTGCAGAATCCTGGGATTTGCAGTTCTGCGAGGTGCCAGCCCTCATTGGCAGAGAACGCAAAAAGCCTTGCAAAACTTTAAATCCCAGGATTCCATGCATCTGCAGCCCTTAATGCGGAGTCAAACTGCATTATTTCTGCAGTGTGGATGCACCAAACTCTTTTGCTTTTTTAAAAAGCAAAACAAAAAACCCTGTTCATATCCTGGTACATTGTTGTTTTTTCTACAGTACAGATGTACCATTTATCTCTTTATTTTTTAAAAACAATAAAACCGTAAAATGATAATAATAATAATAATAATAATAATAAATTAATGAGATATAGATAAATAATAAACAATAAACAAATTAATAAGATATAGATGAAATGATAATAATAAATGACAAATTAATAATACATTAATTAATAAGATATAGATTAATAAATAGTAAATAAATTAATAAGATATAGGTGAAATAATAATAATAATAATAATGAAATAATAATAAATTAATAAGATATAGATTAATAATAAATAAATAATAGATAAAAATGATAATTAAATTAGATTAACTTAATAATAAATAATATAATATAATAATAAATAATGAATTAATAATGCATTAGTTAATAAGAGTTTAGATTTTAATTAATAATATATATTATAATAATTAACAATAATAATAAATAAAAATAAAAATAAAATAAGAACCAAATTAATATTTTCCCCTCCAAGCGGGTTAATGGAAGTCAAGGGGAAAAAATCGAAGCAATAAACCCACCACAGAGGCTGCGAAATCTTGACTACTCGCGCTCGCCGTAGCTCACTCAGGCGTACAGGCGCGACGCATGCGCGACCCGGCTAACCCGGAACTGGAAGGCGGCCATTGTACGGCGCCGCTGAGGAGCTTTCCACGCTGGTCGGCGGTTACGGAAAAAAAGCGGTTGTGAGACGTCACCATGTAAGGAAGCGGGCTTGTGGGGCCGGAGGGGGAGAAATGTCAGTGGGGAGCCTCTTGGCGGAGCGGGGGGCGTCACCCCATGTGTCCCAGGCAGGGAAGCTAAGCAGGGTCAGCCCTGGTTGGTGCCTGGATGGGAGGCCGCCAACGAATCCCAGCTGCTGCTGCTGCTGCTGCAGGAGGCTCTGTTTCGGAGGAAGGAACTGGCCAAACCACCTCTGAGGGTTCATTGATTGAGAGGACCCCAGGAAACCCATGGGGTCGCAGTCAGTCGACAGGCAGCTTGGCCTTGGAAGCTAAGCAGGGCCAGCCCTGGGTGGTACTTGGGTGGGAGACTGTCAATGAATCCAAGGCTCTGTGGGCTCTATTTCAGAGGCAGGAACTGGGGAAACCTCCTCTCGAGTATTCCTTGACTAAGAAGACGCTATGAAATCTCTGGAGTCGCCGTACATTAGCCTTGGAAGCTAAGCAGGGCCAGCCCTGGTTTGTACTTGGGTGGGAGACTGCCAGCGAATCTCAGGTGCTGCAGACTGTATTTCAGAGGAAGGAACTGGCAAAACCACTTATGGGGATACCCTGACAAAGAAAACCCAGTGGAATGTATGGGGTCGCAATAAGTCAACAGGCACCTTGAAAGCATAAACACACACACACATACTAATACAGTATCTAAAAATACCAGACCCGATCTGATCTTGGAAGCAAAGCAGGGTCAGCCCTGGTTAGTACTTAGATGGGAGACTGTGAAGGAATTCCAGGTGCTGAAGACTCTTTTTCAGCGAAACCATCTCTGAGAATCCCTTGCCTAAGAAAATTCCTAGGAAATCGCTTAGGAAATTCATGAGACATAAGTCAACAAGCTGCTTGAAGGAACACACACTTCGTTAACAGGAAAATCCAACAGCCTATGCACCAGTGCAAATCAGTGACACCTCCCCTCACTGAAAAGAGCAGGCTTCTGGTTCCTTTTTGAATAGTTGCCTCAGATGGATGGCTGGATGAAGGGGGCAGTGTTTCTTCTACAGGTTAAAATAGTTACATTAACATAGCCATGGCATGGATGCAATCTGCATCCGCAGTGCAGAATGAATGCAGCCACTCCATTGATCAGATGAGGAGAAAGGGTTGTTACCACTACTAGAAGATGCTTTTGAATCTCAGATAACCTATGTAGTATCACTGGAGCTTTACAAATTCTATTCCTTCTTCTTAGGAGCCTTTTAAACAAACCCAAGAGTGAAATGACCCCGGAGGAACTGCAGAAGCGAGAGGAGGAAGAATTCAATACAGGACCCCTCTCTGTCCTCACACAGTCAGTCAAAAACAACACTCAGGTGCTGATCAACTGTCGCAACAACAAGAAGCTCCTGGGGCGTGTCAAGGCATTCGACAGGTAAGAGCTCACCTGTGGCTTCCTCGGTCCTCCTAGATTGAGCATAATGATTTTAGTCAATTTGTGGCATTACTTGGAACAGATTGTACTAGATTAAAGAGTTACAAGTAAGATGGTGCCTTCCAGATATTTAAGATATTTTACGTAGCTTTTGCTCTTGACCAGTTTCTCTTGGAGATGGGGATTCCACCTGTACATTTCTGAACATTTTTCCTGAATCCTCCAAAGCAGGCATAGGCAACCTTTCCCCTTTAAGGGCCAAGGGACTTCAGCTCCCAGCTCCCAGAATCCCAGGAGCTATTGGCCAACATGACTGAGGCTTCTGGGAGCTGGAGTCCCTCGGCCCTTAAAGGGGAAAGGTTGCCTACCCCTGCTCCAAAGAGTAGTAACACAGATAATACCTCAGTTAATGAAGTAGATGTGTTCCTGGGCATTACTTTTATTACACAGAATTGATACTCAAGGAGAAAATAACATTGAAGTAATAGGGGTAGAGTCCTGCACCACAAAAACAAACAAATAAAAAAGAGGCGTAACACATGTTTCAGCAAACTTTTTATTCAAAACTAGTAATATGAGCAAGTAAAGTGAAACAGTCAGGTCAGGTAAGCCTTATGTAAGAAAACAAAGCTGATATTTTTTGCTTTTTTTAACTTTCACCAGTTCCCATTTTCTTATGGTTTCCATTTTGTTGGCCAGACTTATGGATATATGCCTTTTAGACATGCTAGGAGTACTGGTGAGGCAGACTTACTACTTTCTTCTTTTCTGTGTTTTGCTGATCACACAACTCAGCATGGGATTCAGAAGGCTGCTACTTTCTACCCTGTGTTGTAGGCAGGCAAGCACAGCTAAAATAGGATCAGCTAGAGTAGAATCCCACTTTTTCCCAACTCAAGTTTTGTTATATTGTTTACTACAGACATTCTGCTGCATGGAAAGTCTGTGTTTCTCCATCCCTTCTTTGTCACCCATAATGCTGATGTGCTTTAAAAAAATCTGTGCTAGACAAAGGGCAAGATGAAAAGGGAGGGCTTGGCCAGTATAAAGAGACTTTGTAAAAAGGAGATTCTTTGTCAGAGGCTTTGTTAACTGAGGTATGCCTGTACATGGAGATAGGGTGTCACTTGGCAATTGCTTTGGAGACACTCTGCTCCCTCTCTGTTCGTTAATTGTGGGAAAGCAGAGACTCCTGCCCAGGTAACAGTATCCTTTTCCCACTAGGCATTGCAACATGGTGTTGGAAAATGTCAAAGAGATGTGGACAGAGGTACCCAAGAGCGGGAAGGGTAAGAAGAAGTCGAAGCCCGTCAATAAGGATCGCTACATTTCTAAGATGTTCCTGCGTGGTGATTCGGTCATTGTGGTGCTGAGAAATCCTCTTATTGCTGGAAAGTAATGAGATGTTAGAGAGTTCGGAAGGCTCCAGTGCATGGCCCAGCAAGATACTATCTTCTGGGTCACCACCAACAGACTCATATAGCATCAGCATCTCCCTATGAGCAATTTGTTCTGCGAAGGATTTCCACATGCATCACCATAGTACCCTGATGAAGGAAAGTTGTTGAGCACTACTTGTCCTTGAAAAGCTGGTTGGTGGATTTTCTGTTGCTCCCGTCCCATAGTCCAACAAATCCAAGCTGTATACTTATATATGGCCTGTTGACCTTTCTTTTGTTCTTTTTTTGTAATAAACATTTTGTTAAATTTCTGGGTCTGCTGTTTTTTTTCTGTTTTGCCTGGTGCAAATTTGATGGCACTGGAGACTTGTGGCTAGGGGGTATCTGGCTGTCCTGAACTTAGATTACAGTAGGTCCTCAGTATCCACTGAGGTTTGGTTCCAGGATCCCCTGTGGATACCAAAATCTGTGAATGCTCAAGTCCCAATATATACAATGGCATAGTGAAATAGTGTCCCTTCTATAAAATGGATAGTTGAGTCCATGGATACAGAATCTGTGGATACAGAGAGCTGACTGTATATGTCTGGGGAAAGATCTAAGGATATACTTCCACTGTATTCCAGAGTTGTTCACCTCTCCTTCCTGTAATTCTATGCACTCTTAAAAACCAAAGCTGGAGACTAGGTAACTCTTTGGAGCAGGTTAAGTGTCCCAGAAGGCTGCAGCGAGAGGGTGGAAAGATCCCAGTTCCACTGGCATTATATGCCAAAGTACACCTTTAAGTCTTGGCCTTGAAACCTTGAAAATTCTTTATGGTTAAAGACAGCACAAGGCAAGGGGGGATTTTCTTCATTTGCAGCTTAAAGTTCAGTTTTAAGATAATCATCTTAGTAATTTTTAAAGAATTTTTTCCAATGTTAGTATTTTACACTTTTTAAAAAAAGAACTAGGTAGCTTTCCTAGTTCACAGTGTTGCAAATCAATGTAAAACAATTTCTCCCATGTTTGTTTTCCCAGATTGAATTATA